TTCAAGATCTTGTTTTTGTCATCTTACACCTTTTAATGAAGATGGGAACATTGACAGGAAAATAGATTTGAACGAAGAAGTTTCATAAAGAGCGCAAATGATAGTGTGATGTAAAATTAGTCATGCTAAAAATTTTCATAAAAGTGACCCGAAAAACGGAGCTAACTCTGTAACCCGTTGCCCGATGAAGTTTTGTAAAGAGCGGGAACAGTAGTGTGATGTAAAATTAGTCATGCTAGAAATTTTCATAAAAGTGACCCGAAAAATGGTGCTAACCCAGTAACCCGTGGCCCGATAAAGTTTTGTAAAGAGCGTGAACGGTAGTGTGATGTAAAATTAGTCATGCTAGAAATTTTCATGAAAGTGACCCAAAAAATGGAGCTAACTCGGTAACCCGTGGCCCGATTTTAATGAAACTTGTTTTATTCTGTTTCTATTCTCATTTCATTACAAATATGGTGCTATTGTGGGCCGTTTTTGCTGTATGTAATTACAGACAAACAAACAAATAATCTCAGAGTTTTAGTAGTATATAGATGATTTTTATATCAAAGTCGATAGTCTTGTGTTAAATACAAGTAAGATAATATAAAATTTGATTAAAAAGAAACTTATCCTTGTAAACAAAAGCACTATTAACACCTTCTGTGATTTGCCCAAGATAACTTGAACACCCTCCTTGAGTTAAGTCAGGAAAAACCATTTCACACTGTATTTTTAATTATTTGCCTGAACTTATTTGCATGTAATCATGTATTACACTCAGTGCTCACTAGATGGCTATTTGTGTTGATCTCTATTGGATTTATCCTTAATTATGTATCATAAACACTGCAGAAAAGCATTCTTATTCGTTATAGTAGGTTGACTGAAATAATATATTATCACGTATTAATCCGAATATGTAACATTTATCTATGAAGTGTATTTTGTGCAGAAATATAATAACACATCATAATAACAGATTATAAAAGAACTTTTGTTTAATTAATATATAATTATTGATTATCAAAAAGCAAAGTAAAAAAACTGACATTTTTGAGCTCATTTCTAAAAAACCTAACATGAAAGGAATTTAGAAAAGAGTGTTTGCTACTTAATCTACATCATATTTGCTGTTTCTTTTTCCATAAGAGATACATTTTTGTGTACTTTAGATTACCCATTCTTTCAGTATTAATAGTTTGTAAAAAATAATGTTATTTTCATTTAAAATGTTAGTAATTACCATCATATTAAGAGAACTATGTTTTCACCAATAATATTTAGCAATTAATCGGAAAATAATGATTTAAACCTGGCAGTTATTGAACAATATTCCAGTAAATTAGGAAGACATAAATTAAACCAGTTATATGTTTTCTTATATAATTATATTTATGTTATTGCTTACTACTTCCCCTCACCCTCTTGTACTGCCTGTAAAATCATAAATAAAAACTGTGAGAAGGAAATGTTTCAAAAACCAATTTAAGATAAATATCTGACAAATTTGTGTGATGATGCTAGAAAATATAAAAACAATAAAATGATAGTTTCTTAAAGAATATGAAATTATTGTATTACAAGTAGAGAATGTCCATTTTGTAAAACTTTTCTAGTTTCAACTTAAATGTGGTTCATTTTCATAACTGGTAGGGATTGAGAACTTTGTTTCTACAAATCTTAGTTATTAGTTACACTGTTTGTTTGTTTTAACTCATCGTTATTGTTTTAACATTCTTCATACTGACTTGGTATGAAAATTAGACTATTTTATATCTTTGTCGGGCAAAAAACTAATTTGTGTTATCCAAGTGTTCACATGGAAGGATTACATAAGTTGTCTGGATGTTACAAGTTACACCATCTGTTTAAGCAGTGATATACAAGTTACACCATGTTTTTAAGCAGTGATATACAAGTTACATCATGTTTTTAAGCAGTAATATACATGTTACACCATGTTTTTAAGCAGTAATATACATGTTACACCATGTTTTTAAGCAGTGATATACAAGTTACACCATGTTTTTAAGCAGTAATATACATGTTACACCATGTTTTTAAGCAGTGATATACAAGTTACACCATGTTTTTAAGCAGTAATATACATGTTACACCATGTTTTTAAGCAGTGATATACAAGTTACACCATGTTTTTAAGCAGTGATATACAAGTCCCACCATGTTTTTAAGCAGTGATATAGAAGTTACACCATGTTATTAAGCATTGCTACGGAATATTAATTTTGTATGTACATATAAGAATTTATAAGTAGTACTTGTGATAACCAGATATATTTGTATCACATGGTTTTACTCTGCTTACAATCTATTCTACATAGAACACACACATTTCGATTATGATGTATATGTTTATTACCTTTATAATTTTTAGCTCTGTTAATTTTAAAGTTATAATTCATTTTTCATGTTTAATTATACAGTAAAAAACTTGATACAGGTCTTTTTCTTTCTTTTCACTAAGGTGCTATCCAACCCCGAGTTTCTGGCTGAAGGATCAGCTGTCAATGATCTCTTAAATCCTGATAGAATCTTGATTGGAGGAGATCAAACATCAGAAGGCAAGGAAGCCATTGAGAAATTGTGTTGGGTTTATAAACACTGGATTCCAGAAAAGAAGATAATCACAATGAACACCTGGTCATCAGAATTGTCTAAGCTGGTATGTTATATTTTTGTGACTTAGTGAAACAGATGTTTCATACATGAGGTTCACATGGTATTTAAGAAGTGTTTGTCTGAGTGCTGCCCAATGGTTAGTCCAGTTAATGGCAAAGAAAATCTCATTCCTCACTTTGGGTCTGTGGTTGGTGCATTATAAGAGTGACAGTCAAATCTCACTATTTGGTTTGACAAAAGTAGCCTAAGAATTGGTGGTGGATGATATTAACTAGCTGCCCTCCCCCTGGTCTATCTCTTCAAAATTATGGATGGCTAACCCAGATAACACTTGTGTAGCTTTGCATGAACTCCAGCAAATTATCAGTGAAATTCAGAAGAGCCCAAGTAAATGTATCAGACACTAACAGTCACCTTTTCCAGAAATGTTGTATTTAAAACTAAACATATAATACTAATTTTTCACCATTCTCCATTTCTAGTCATAAGCTTGTGGTCCTAAGAAATACAGACAAGTATGTGACCAAAACCAGTGATGTTTTATACACACCCATGGCTCTCAAAATTATCTAAATTTGTATTAATATTATAATATTTAAATTCAAAGTTCAACTCTTATTTAATATATAGATGTTTGGAAAAATTAGAACAGATGTTAATGGTACACATAAATACATCATCATCAGGGTGTTAGATTAATATGAAAGTTGTATATAAGGACAGGGTAAATAAAGGTTTTCAAGCTCATACTGAAATTATATGTAAAACATGGTAAATAGAGGTGTTCAAACTGATCTTTGCTGTTCAAATAGTAAGCAAACTCTGTTAATGCCTTATTACCATATTTCCACACCAAGAATGTGTCATCTACATACCTTATCCAAATATCAGGTTTACATTTTGCATTATTTATGGCTTTAGTTTCAAATACAAAGGTGTTGAAACTGATCTTGAAGTTATGTATAAAACATCATAAAGGTGTTGAAATTGATCTTGAAGTTATGTATAAAACATCATAAAGGTGTTGAAACTAATCTGTAAGAGAGTATGTAGACACAGTTAAAAAGTTGTATCATGTATGAATAGTCATGTTTAAGAAGGTATGTCATGTATGTAGACACAGTTAAAAAGTTGTATCATGTATGAATAGTCATGTTTAAGAAGGTATGTCATGTATGTAGACACAGTTAAAAAGTTGTATCATGTATGAATAGTCATGTTTAAGAAGGTATGTCATGTATGTAGACACAGTTAAAAAGTTGTATCATGTATGAATAGACATGTTTAAGAAGGTATGTCATGTATTTAGACACATGGTTAAAAGTTATGACATTTGTATAGGAGATATGTCTTGTTTAATATTTTACTGACTGCTGTTCATCGATTATAAAGCAGTTTGGAAGAAATTGTTTGTTGTTAAGTACAAAGCTATAGAATGGGTTGTCTACACTTGTTAACTGCAAGGAGCAGTTCCAGATGTTTAAGTTATAATCATTTAAACTTACTGCTGAGCCACCAGGGGGCATGAAGAAATACCAACTAAAATTTGATAATGTATTGTATAACCTGTTAGATTTTTCTGTTCATGAGAAACTATTAAATAAATAAATAAATTTTAAGGCTAACCCTTATCATTCTTATAGTTATCAAGCTTTCACTTAAATTTACTGCCTCCATAATATCAGAAGGCAACCCACTCCAGAGGCCAACCACCCT